CCACAGAGTCACCTGACCATGACCTCTCAACTGTCTTCTCAGCTTTCACTACTCCATACAACCAAAGATCTGTCACCTGAAAGGAATCCAGTTGCCTATCTGGTCAACATTCCATTGGCCACTGGCTTCAATGGGGATTCACCAGAAGGTGCTAGGGAACCTGTCCTCTCATTTATGATTGGTAGTTGCTCTAAGGGCCTTTAAAGTTCTATAAACTATAACTAAAGCTTGAGCTATCCTTATTTAAAATGATTTCCTTGTCTTCAGCATTCACAAACATTCATTTTTTTATAGGCCCCCTTAAAGTTTCTTAGATGTTTGAAAGGAGGGAAAGTTTCCTCACTCTCTAATCTTACATACCTCCAAAAAAGTGGCAGGGAAAGATCAGAAATGAGATCAGAAAAGGAGGTCTTTTCTTCTCATGTTCACAGTGAGTTATTGAGACAGCTTGCTCATGAGTCATCACTCTCAGCCTGGAAAGGCAAGAATGGGGAATCTCAGGAGCTAAGATTTCCTCCTCACCAGTGGAAGATCAGACCAGAAAGGAAAGTCAGGAAAAATAGGCTCAACATTTCCTCTAGAATGCAGAGGAGAATCAGGCCAGCTTGTCTCACTGAGACCTGACCCCCAAGTCCTGAGAACAGCTGCCAGCCTATTACTTTATAACTAGGAGTTGGGGTACTGTGATTTATTAATAGGCATGTATATTTTCTAAATATAAAGTAGATTTCATAAAAAACCCCATTTTACAAAATTTTATATCATAGTTCACTATGGCACATTCTAACATTATTCATCTGAGTGCTGTCGTCTAACAAGTCAAACAAGAAACACTAGGAAATTCAGCCAAAAAATCCAAATGCAGGATATATAAAGTAGGAACAAACTGTCCCATCAAAGAAACATCATAATCTTTCCATGTTCTCAACTTAAATTTATAAGGCATAAGCAATTGACAAAGACAAGGCATAAAAATTCAAAGCATATGCAACTGATAAAGACAAGGAAATTCAAGGCATAAGCAACTGACAAACAACAATAACAAGCTTTAATTACTCAAGTGAGTCACAATACAGAATCTATGAAACAAAAGCAAACACTTACCTTCCTCCAATTATCTCATTGGGGCCTCCAAATGATATAAGGGAAATATAACTCCCAACCTGATAGATGTCTGATATGACAAATTTGTGTCCTTTAAAAATCAAAGAATGAATTCTAGTAACAATGGAGGTTAAGAGTAGGAAGTATTTATTGAAAGAAAGATAGCTTCTAAGAGACAGAGGGGGTCCGAAGTGGGTAGTTCTGGGCACCCCACTAGAGCAAAGTCCTGAGGTAGGTAGAACAAAACTAAAACAAGTAATAAGATTACAAGTATAGTCACTTAGGTAACCTTGATCCAATGGGAAATCATAGGGTGAGTATGAGGTGGGACAAAATCATGGTCAAAAAATAAGATTAGGAGTGCAATCACTTAGGTAATGGTGATTAAATGGGGATCAAATGGGGGAAGCAAGTCACATAGCAAGTGTACATGGAATAAACAAAGACTTCTCCTGGAAAGAAGAGGCCAGGGAGATTTTGGTCCCCTACCCAAGGTGATTGATGCCTATTTAGAATATCAATCACTACTGTTCATCCCTAGGGAAAGCATGTGGGTGTAGTCATTTCTCTGTCCTGAGGCTTGACCTTCAGGAATGCACCTTCCAGCCACAGTTGTCATGTGCACTGACCTCTGCAGGGCCCAGCCTTATCTGATTGCCTATATTTATAACTTAGCTGTCCATAATACAACCACCAAAGAGAATTAGACCATCTCTGGGAGGGCAAATGATTAGTGAATAAGATGGCGTTTCTTGGTTAGAAAAAAAGGAACATCTCAACAAAGGAAATGTCGGTTAAAATATTTTACTCTGAAAATTATGCATCTTCATCACAGAGGAAATCTGCTTAGATTCTACAAACTTTAAATTATGAAGTAACCCAAATTAATTAGTAGATGCCTCTCTGGAACCTTCAAAGTTTGTTTGCATCAGAATTAATAGGTAGCTTTGGAAATATGTTTTCTTTTTTCTTTACTTCTGTTGAAAAGCAGTAATCTTTATTTAAGTTAGGGATATAATGTTAGGAAGTAATGTTAAAATATTGACATATTATGCACGAAGCCCTGGATTTGATCTCCAGCATAGTACAGTAAAACAAAACAAAGAACTCACAGATGATTATATTCACTATTTTATGTGGATCTTTGAATGAGAAAACATGTATATGTTAGAGTCCCAGTGAGTCAGTAATTGAAGCCTGTAGAACCAGCCTGCAAGGTGATCCAGATGGTCACAGACTCCTGGGAGTCACACCCTTGTGTAGACTTCTACAGTGAGCGGAGCTGTCTCGTGTAACCAACACGGTATTGTGGGAATGATGGCATGAATTCTGAGGCTAAATCATAAAAGATATCATGGTTTCCACCTTTTCTCTTGTATGTTTGCTCCGGAGGGAGCCCGCTGACACGTCATGATGACAGTTAAGCAACCCTACAGAGAGGGCCCCTGACAATATCCCCCGTGACCAAACCTTCTTAGAAGTGGACCTTCAGGCCCCGCCCCCACCCAGCCTGTAGACAATTGTTGCCATGGTGGAATATCTTGACTGCAATCATGAGACCATGAGGTAAATTATCCCTAGATTCCTTTCTTTTTTTTTTCCCTGGTACTGGGAATCGAACTCACGACCTTGAGCTTCCTCGCACTTGCCCTATCCTAGATTCCTGACCTATTACTGCTGCTGAGAGAATATGTTTACTGGTAAGTCACTAAACTTGAAATAATTTGTTACTACAGCAAGAGATTTCGAAGTCTTCCTTTCTTCTCCAAGAAATACTAATGGCACAATAAACCAATGATGCCCACCTTAAACCATGTACAAAGTCAAAAGGCTATGCTGTAGCGCTTGCACCCATAATTCAAAGAACTTGCCAGTAAGTCTTTGTCCCAAAGAAGAGTCCCAAGACCTCGATTACCTGGGAGCCTGTTAGAAAAGCAGAATCTCAAACACCACCTTAGACCTGGAGGCTGCATTTTGATGAGATTCCTCCATGCCAGCTAAGTACATTAAAGTTTGAGAAAAAGCCCTGAACTATTTTGCTCAATGTATCAATAACAAAAACAGTTGGGAAGCTCATCCTTCGGAAATTCTGAGTTTATTCCTTCGGGTTGAGGCTGTGGTGGTGCAGACCTTATCTGGGGGTTCCTTTGAAATTGTCTGTCGCGCCTCCTGAAGGAGCACCCAGTCATGGTCTTAACAGACTCCGTTTTCCCCCTCTCACCTGCGCTTTCTCTCTGAGGCATCTCTCACTCCAGCTCATCTCAGATCCAGGCCTAGTGAACCTTGCATGCAGGTCACCTCATAATAGGAACTGAGGCTAACACCCTGGTCCTTCAAGCGGAAGCCATCACTTCATGACTGACCCAAATTGGCGCCTGCAGAAGCTGAGTGTGAGACAACGGTCAACCAGAACAAGCTTGATCAAGACTGCCTGCCTACGCATACTTCCTGCTGGGGGACCTACACCTTTCCCTATATAATCCTAGAGTTTACTCTGAGTACCCAAGACAGGGTTTAGGTCGCAATCTCCCTGCCTCTTCGTAGTCTGGACACACAATACCCCCAACGCCCCGACGGAACTCTGGAGGCAGATTGTGGCAGAACTTGGCCTGCTGGGTCAGGTCTCTGGCCTTGGACTCCTGTAACAGGCACAATAGAGCGTAGGATTTGCTTTTCAGAAGCAAATGCTTTCCCAGGACTCAGTTCATTCCAAGAAAAGCCTTTATGCCTTTCCACTCTGAAGGTCAGTTCGGAATTGCCGTGCGAAGGACTGACCAGGTGCCGACAGTGTGAGGCGCATGTTGTCAGATTGGGTCTAAGCAGCTTTGCTCTGCAACTTACTCCGACGGCAAAACCGAAATAGCTAATGTTTCTCATACACCTTTGGAAACCATGTTTGTATTGTTGACCAGACCTTTGGAATTAGGATTTCTCGGGTGACGGGTCTTCGCAGATGTCCGCCCCACACTGCCTGGAACATGGGCGGGTGGGGAAAGGCGTGGGCCGGCGGTGCGCTGCGCACTCTCAATAAATATCTGTCCATTAACTAAGTCTCCCAACCCAGTAACTCCTGATTCCTCATTCATTCAGTTCCTGAACCTACCATGTTAGCAGTCTGCAGTGGAGAGGGTGGAGGTTGTTTTCGCAAAGGATTTTTAAATAAAGGAAAAACAAAATTTTTTTTTTTAGATGATAAAGCCTGTGCCTAAGCTCGGAGCCGCGTTCACATTTCCGCCCGGATTCCTCAGTGGGGGGCGGATGCAGGGATGCGCTCCCTGCCCTTGACTCTCCTTCCTTTGTATTTTCGCTCCGGCCTGCGCGTGCACGGCCCGGGCTGAGCGCGCGCCGCGGCTGCGCCCTTCCGCGCCGGCTCGGGTCTGGCGGCCTCTGCCGGAG